TTTGCTGTGGCTCTCTTGTGGCAAAAAGCAAAGAGTTCTGAAACCTTATAAGTTATGCTATTGGGAGAAGCTATTGACCAGTCAATAGCTTCTTTCACCTGAGCTGTGGATCTCGGCAACTCCTCCAGAGCTACTTTTGAGCCCTTGGCTGTTTCTCAGATTCCTGCTCTTTGCTCAGCCTGTCAGTTTATGTTGATCGCCAAACATCAGTAAGTTTGTTTTTGTTTATTTGGAAATGTTACATGAAAGGGGACTGAATCAGATTGATACACATTTCTAAAAAAAAAAAAAAAAAAAAAAAAACATTTTTTCTCATTTTTTTTTCCATTTTTCAACTATGTGTAATTTTGTGTTGGTTTATCTCAGACGGTCCAAATAAAATACATTCAGGTTTGTGTTTGTATTGCTAGACTATGTGCTAACTTTCAAGTGGTATGAAGAACTGGTGAACTCTTGTTCACCAGTTCGTCATACCACTCTGTAGTGTGAAAACGCTGTAGTGTGAAAACAATGCGGCTCAGCTATATTCTGTGACAGTTTGACAAATGTGCGCCATGATAACCAAGAGAGGAAGGTTAAGTTGCACCTTTGCCATAATGGTTCAGCAGGTTAAACTGGAACCTGAGTGAATACAGAGTTAGTAGCAACTGAAACTGACATGTTGATGTAGTTTCCTTCAACTCTTCCTCCAGATAAGGAGGAACATTGTAGGGGAGAACTCAGGTTTGGCAATTGATCTCTGGCTGGTTGGCCTGAGAGAAACTGAGCAGGAGGCAAGACCTGCTTCACTTTAATATTCTTGGGAGCCTGTGCATTGATCTTTCAAACGTACAAGACAAATGCAAGAAGTGGAAACTGGTATGTTTAGCACAATGCATGACCCCAGTTTGTTCCAGGAAAGTTGTCATGTGATTCTTATCAGTCTTTAAATGACAGAACAGGAAGAGTGGGTGAAGAGTGATTGTCCATTAATCTTTTTAAACACAGCACTCTGTGAACAGCTAGCTTCTTTAGCAAAGAGCTTTGGTGGCTTAACCTCCTTGTGGGAGAACCGGTGACTATCTGCTGGACTAATGGATACATCAGCAGCCTTCCCTATGACTGTGTAGGTCATAACACATAACATATTTTTGTGTGAAAAATATTTTTTGTGATATTTTGTAATATTTGTCTTTGCATTTGTATTAGATTGCATTTGTTGATTTTTGCAACCTGACAGTCATTTTAATAAAATTCAACCGTCTTCACATATTTCTGAATGCATTTGATACAGGTTTAGAAGTCAAAGATTTGTAATCCGAAACATATAGAGCCTGCTTCAACATGTCTGCTGGAAAGGAAATGCATTTTTTAAAACCTCAATTAACTCTTAAGCTATTCTCCTTTGGGGCAAGGCCGATAGGTTTAGGAGTAGTGTTGACGTTTTTATGCAAAGGGGAGAAACGTTTTGGACTTTTCGCATAAAAGCAGGAAATAGAATGTAAGAGAACAATCACAAATAAATTGTAAAGGTATTGTATTCTTAATAATAACAAACATAAGGAGACATACTATAAAACTATACAGGCAATCAATGTTGTAAATGTCTGCATGCAAACTGTCAGCAAAGAAATAAAAATACCAATTTTTTTTTTCAACAATAGAAGAAAAAGAAAAGACTATAGACAGCCGTGCACCTTCTTTCATCTCAGAGTGATAATATTGGCTGTAAGTAGATGAGAATGTAATGTTGCCCTAAATTACAGTCATTCAAAGCTTGTATGGTTACCCAGCAATCTATCACTGTCACACAAAGAGCGAGAGGGGGGAGACCGAGCAGACAGGCGCCAGGCACAGCAGGATCAAAGCAGGAACATACCTCAGGGAGGGAAACGGTTAACTCCATTTAACCAATTGTCCTATAAGACGGAGACAGACAGAAAGTCAGTGTGTTGCTTCAGGCCTGTCCAGCAGCAGAGTCAAAAAGCCTCACATATTTGGTTTCAATGGGAGTTATTGGACTTGGTGCGAGGAGCTCCGGAACAAAACTAATTTGGACGAGCCTCTTCAATAAGGCCCTTTAGAGACTCTCAAAGGGGCTGCAGACAATGAGCAAAGCAGGCTGAAATATATGGGCATAGACAACTAAATTAGAGGCCACAATATGAAAATTTACAGTGACAATCACTCTTGGAAATACACTGAGAGCAGTAAATCACAGCTTGAACAGCTATGCTGCTTTAATGAACCAGGACCATAAACTACTCTGTCTTCTAAAACAGCTTTCAACAAGCCGTGTCACTACTTTATGCTCTACAGCTTAGATTTAAACAGTTTAAACAAGTGGTATACACAAACTCATCAGATTATTTTATTTTGAATAACTGAGAAGAAAGCGTTGCCTATTGTTTGTGGTGTTCGTGGACAGGATCTAAAGGTTCAGTTGCGCAGAGGAGGATGTTTGGTTTCAGACACTTGGGGTCTCATCTTTGCTTTTCACAGACGGTGTGGTTCTGTTGGCATCTTCAGCGTTCACAGTGGAGTGAAGGCTTGAGTGTGAAGGGGCTAGGATGAGCGTCAGCTACCTCTAGATCTGAGGCCGTGGTTCTCTCAGGGTAAAAGAGGCGCTTCTTTATTGTCAAGTCTCACTCTAGCTGATTAACATCTAGTTCGGTTCTAGCGAAGTTGGGTGCGTTGCTATTGTCAGTGTGTTTCTAACTGTGTGGGAGTGAATATGAGCAGAAATGTGGGGAGGGGGGAATGCGAGAACGTGGGCAGTCTGTGAGCGTGAAGGTGCTGCAGTCGATGATGTCATTTTGCGTGTGTACCCTTGGGATGTCAGTTTTTCTGAAAACTTCTGATATATTTGCTCGTTGGGGGTTGTCTTGTCGCTCTATGCCCTCTTATCCTTCTTATTGATAAAAGGTTTGGACCTCAAAGTTTGACCAGAGAGTTATCGTCATCTCACCAGCTACTTTGGTCTGACGTAAATCAACGCATGCAGTTTGCTGACAATCAAATCGCATGTGACTAATATCCAGCGAGGTCCAGCTTGTATCACATGAGGTGGTTCCACAAAAAAATGGGAAGGAACAGCACAGTAATCTGGCCAGGGTGGACTGGGACTAGTTAAAGCCACTCCCATGGAGAAGGCGCCAGCTCAGGTGTACTGCCCCGTCTGGCTTGGAGGTTGGTCTCTGTCTCAAGAAGAAAAGCTTAAGTATCTTGGTGTCTTGTTAACGAGTCATGATGGTATGGAACATGAAATGGACGGACAGATTGGGGCTTCATCTGCAGTAATGTGGGTGCTGCTACAAACAGTTGTGGTGAAGGAAGCGCTTAGCCTAAAAGCAAAGCTCTCAATTTACTAGTCCTTGAGTATTCTGACCCTCCCCTATGGAAACTGAGAAGTGGATCATGACCAAAAAGACGAGATCCAGGATACAAAGAAACAAATGAGGCTCCTCCAAAGGGTGGCTAGACTCAGCCTTGCAGACAGGATACGGGGCTTTGCCATCCAGGGGGAGCTCATAGTAGAGCCGCTGCTTCTCCACTTCAAAAAGAGTCTTTTGCCGTGGTTCAGCATGTTGCTTGGGCCCCTCCCTTTGGGGGTTTTCCAGGCATGACCCACTGGGAGGAGACCCCAGGGAAGATTCAGACCTCACTGGGATCCCGCAGAATGAGCCAAAGGATGTCGCTTTAAGGAGAGGGAGTTATTACTGGAGTTCTCTTCTGGACATGGTGCCGCCATCACCTGATCTTAGATAAGCATGGAAGACAATGGATGGATAATCAATATAAACACAGAAACTCTAATTTTTAATTACAAAAAGCTATATTTATTTTCCTGCACATTTCAGTGAAAATGTCTATTAATAAAAGGAGCTTTTGTAACACAACTTTCATGAGATTTTTGGGTCTGTTTTTTGTTCATTTAGTCACCTTTTAAAGCAGGAATTTACCCATTCACAACCGATTCACAAGTCTTTACTATTTGTTGTACTCAGAAGCGATCAAACGATGAGCCGGCCCATGGCAAAAGCAAGCAGTATTTTATTTTCACATTGTTTTGCAGAGCTTACGTTCAAATATATCAGTAAGTTAGCTAACCATTGTGTACACCTTATGGAACATGGACTTTCTGCATATGTGCTGTGGCAAAGCAGATATTCTCTCACCAGACACATTTCTGGGATTTCGGTTGTTCATTTTTAAAGTTTTGGAACATTTAAGCTCCTACATGCAAACCCAGATATCCCAGGGTTTGTGCTAAATTTTAAAAAATAAGCACACACTCATAGGAAGCATTGCACTAAGAAGCATTGACTTCTTATACATAGTTAATGCTTCTTGCAGACACACCTGTAAATATTAAAAACCTTTAGTTTAGAAGTGATTTTTGTTTTCAGTTTCAGAGTCTAATCACTTCTAAATATACATACCTTCCTAGATCAAGAGACATAGACTTTCCTTCGAGCAAAATTAATTTACAGCTTGTTAAAATTAGCTCTTTCCATTGGCCTTGGACCGGCTTTACTTGAGTTAACATTTTAAAATGTAATCGCTGAGAAAGATCCATGCTTTATGTTAGTTTACTGCATGGGCACACAGTCCGGATTGACGGAGTTCATTAATCCGTTGTTGTTTCCATGCAGTTTCGAGTGAATTTAATAGGTTTTCAAACCATAATTGTTGTACTGGTTTATGTAAACAGTCTGACTTGGACCCCACGCAGGTCTGACACGCTCACAATTGACTGCCAAAGTAAAGTAAAACGTTCTGGCAACTCAAGTTACGCTGAAAAACAAAAATACATTTCACGGGTTAAGCTGCTCTCTAAAAGTACTAAGCTCCAGAAACAAATGAGCAAATCAGAGAAATATACGGAAGAGGATTGGGGCCACTGGAAAAAAAAATAATAAAACAGTTCTGACTTTAATCTCAGAATTCTGAGATTAAAGTCACAATTCTGAGAAAAAAGTCAGAATTCTGAGATTAAAGTCAGATTTTTTTCCCCCCCTTTTTTCCAGTGGCCCTAATCCTCTTCTGTAGAAACAGCCCTGTCTTGACAGAGTCTACTTTTGTTAATACATGAATTTTCTCAAGGAATATTTGGCCATCAAAACGTGGAGAAGAATAAAAGTAAGTAAAGGTTATTTATAAAATCCTTTTCACAGATAGAAAATCACAAAGCACTGTGCAACAAAAATCAACATTAAACTATACAAAGATTAAAAACAAGAATAAGAAGTACAATAAAAAATCGCAGGTCTGAGCTCCTTAGGTCTGTAGTAAATCATGGAAAGTTTACATCTGCTCCACGTTCCTTGAATTAGTTATCTGCCATCGCTTACAAGTTTTACAACTGTCAATGCCCACAAACAGTAAGCTAACCTCATCATTCATCTGTCCTATCAGAGCGCGCACCAGCCGAGTCACGTGGACGACTTTTAATGTCTGATTCGCCCGCGGTAAGATGAGAGAGAAACTTCTGGCTCTTCACTGAAGAAAATGCGAGCCTCTGCGTAAAACTCAGCTTACCAGCGGATGCGCAGCGTCAGCGGAACCACAACGATGACAGTGATCTTCATCAAGTGAACAGACGCAAACATTAAAAAAAAAAGCAGCTCGGAGAGCGGCGGGGGAAAGTGGTTGCATGGCACCGCAGTCGTGCGTAATGAATCCTGCGCAAGGATCACCAGCCTTGGACACATCGCGTCAGGATAAAGCCGCTGGAGAAACTGGAGCCGAGGAGCTGGACATGGCACCCAGAAGGAGCTGTAAAACCAAAGGTTTCGAGCTGCCTTTCAGTGTGGAATCCCTCATATCGGACAGGACCTCTCCGTGCAGCAGCTCCCACTCCTCTGACCTTACGTCAGGCTGCGTCCGCACGGAGGAGACCGAGTGTGCGTCACCGAGAGGGATCTGTGGGTCCAAACTGGAGGCGGTGGACCTTAGCGACAAGGAGAGGACCTGGCTCCAGGATCCATACCATGCACACACAAGTGAGTTGGAGATATTATCATTATTTTTGCTACTATTAATAATAATTTATGTTTGTATCATTACACATCTCATGCATTTAGGTTATACCTCAGTTCGGTTACTGGACAATTTAAAAATAAAAAAATCTCTATAAATTAAACTCTTTAGAGATGTTTACTGTCAACATTTCATAACTTTCATACTTTACAATTTAATCATAAAGTATGGCAAAACTGTATTAATTTGAATGGGTCTCAGAATTTATTTAAAAAAAACTTTATTGTATCAAGTAGAAGGTCAAATATGTTACGTTTTCTTTCTTCAAGAAAGTTTTTTTTTTTTTTGACGTTTTCTACTTACCAGGAAAAAAATAACAAACTAGAGAAAATGAGAAGTAAATGGCTTGATATTGTGCGCCACATGTTACATACTGGACTCATACCATTTGCATTTTGTATATTTTTGGTGCAGGACAACTCTGCTCAACCTTTACCTGAAAAAAAAAAAATCATATATGGGGCCCACACTCACATGTTGGCTGGCCACTGATAGACTACGATTTAAAATCAACTATAAAATGTGATTGCAGATTTTGCCGTCCGCTCACATTACATAAAAAAAATCTAAAGGTTGATTGACATTAGTTTTGTTAAATGACACAGGATATAGACATAAAATGATCCATCTTGAACGCAGTTGCCACAACGAGCATGCCGTTTCTCACTTGATCAATCTGCTTCCAGGAATCCCCAACCCAACTACGTGCAACCTGCGGAAACACAAGAACAACAGGAAACCCAGGACCCCCTTCACCACGTCCCAGCTGCTCTCTCTGGAGAGGAAGTTCCGTCAGAAACAGTACCTGTCCATCGCGGAGAGAGCAGAGTTCTCCAGCTCCCTGAACCTCACAGAGACCCAGGTCAAAATCTGGTTTCAGAACCGACGAGCCAAAGCCAAGAGACTGCAGGAGGCCGAGCTGGAGAAGATAAAGCTGGCCGCAAAGCCGCTGCTGCCGGCGTTCGCCTTCCCCTTCCCGCTGAGCGCGCCCCTGGGCGCAGCGCCTCTGTACGGAGCTCGGCCTGCTTTCCCCGTACCCGGACTACTCAGCAGGCCTTACGGGATGTATTACTTGTCTTAACTAATATCCAGGACGCTGAGTTGGAAAAGCGTTATTCAAATATGTTTTTAGAAAGAAAATAACAAATGTCACAAAAAATATCCATCCCGATAAATCTCTTTTCTCTCTCTCTCTCTCCCCCCCTCTCTCTCTCATTTTTTTTTTTTTACAGTTCTTATAAGTTCAATGACATTTATATCGCTATAGTTGGTGTGAGAAATATTTTTACACATATATGTTTACAAGCGTGGTCTACCTTATTTCTTTGGAAACAAATTTGATGGAGTAAGAGATTTTAAAGAGGTCAGCCCAGATGACATTTATAAAAAGATGAATTATTTTTAGGCCAGCAAACTTGTTTTTCTTGGTGAACTTTTGCGCACATTTTACGCAAAAGATGAAAATTAAATCGCACTCCACTGTGTTGTAAGCGGTTTAATTTACTAAAGCTTAATTCCATTAGATGCAGTTACTTTTTTTTATCTTGAAAGGCCAACTTGTTCTGAATTGAGAATATCTTTTTGAAAGGTATCCAGACTTGCATGTTTTTGACGTGCGGAGCTTTAGAAAATGTTTTTGCTGAGGCCGTACCAAATTTGCTATTTTTTTTAAGAACTTTGCTGTCTTATGATAAACAAATTACATGGAAATAACCCTAAAGCAGTGTGACTAAAACTGGTTTCTCAGTGTAGTTGTTCTTTATGGCTCAAAGGCACCGCAACCAATTTATTTTAATTTCAAGAATAAAACGAAAATAAAATTTACAAGTAGATTGCAAATCATAATTTATAGTGCGAAAATATTACTGAACTACTGGAAAAATGGCAGTCTTAAGTATCCCTTTTTAAACCTGTATAAGAAGTGAAGGCCAGAAAACATCTCATCCTCCTTTTTCAAATACCCTAAAAATTGACCAAACAAGTCTGACACCGAACTGGAACCATCAATAGAACCAGTTTTTTTTTTTTTTTAAATAGACTGAATCATTTATTCACACCCTTTGCCAGATTATTTAAAATTACTCTCATTCATCCAAAAAGTTTGCTCCTGCTTGCAAATGAGACAAGTATCTATTAAAAGATGATAAAACAAAATAAAAGGAGTAACAATTTAACAAATAACTATTATAAAAAAATGTCTAATTGAAAATTATTTATAATTGCGTGAATAATCAGTGGGAGAATCTATACTGGCATCATAGCATCAAAATGTTCCTATAGCTGTTGACCAGCTTCTTGGTTGTTTCTGCTGATCTTATGAGGATTCATCTTTGGTGAATCCAAGTCTTCTGAATTTCTCTGTCAGATTCAAACTTCTGGTTCCAAAATATGAATGTTTTGGAGTTTGGCCGCTCCAAAATATATGTATCATTTCCAGGCAGAACTGTATACCAGGGTTTTTATCTCTCTCTCTCTCTCTCTCTCTATATATATATATATATATATATATATAGAGAGAGAGAGAGAGATATATATATATATATATATATATATATATATATATATATAGAGAGAGAGAGAGAGAGATAGATATAGATATATATAATTGTGGACCTAACTGACTTAATAAGACACACAAGCATCAAAGCTGAACAGCTGGTATTAGTACATACTATCACAGATGAATAATTTTTGACAGATTTTACTGAATAATTAAAGTTGCACTTGAGTTGAAAGGGGTTCAACGTTAATCCTTTGGGCCCGAGCAAGCACCACATGGGTTCCGAACTCAACCTACCAGCTTAAATACATAACTTTTCTCTTTCTCAATGCCTAGCAAAAGGGCTACTTTCTGACTTTTCACTATCTGGGAACAACTTTTGTTTGTTTGTTTTTTAGACACACCTGAAACAATCTGCTGACTACAAGTAAAACCATGCAAATAAATAGAAACACGGAAATTTGCTCACTTAGAAACTTTCGGATCAGGTGTTGCATCTTATGTGATGTGTCACAGCTTGTATTTTGGATTTACATTTTATCCTGAATTAATAACGATTTAGGACAAAATAGCAAAACAAGCTGAAAAAACTGAATGGGATATTGATATCTAAAGGGAGTTTGATTGATTTTCCATAAAGTTTGTCTGTTGGCTTTGACTGTTATGAGTGTTTTCCTGGTTTTCACAGCAAAATGTTCCTTAATATATTAATTGCTGTCATTTCACACAACCACAAGCTATTCTGAGGTATAAATCCCTGTCTGTCTCAACAATACAAACGAAAGCATACATTGTCCTCATGTTTTATTTTTCTAAAAAAAAAAGAAAAAAAAAAGTTGATTTAAGAACTTTCCTTTTAGTTTATGAAATATAATTACAACTATTTTGGATTGTTTTTTGTTTTTTTTTTGCAATCATCAATCCCACTGCAGTCTTTAATGTACAGTGCATTTTATGAGACTGAAAACACAATTTGCATTAAAGTCTATTACTAAAAGATGTAAATGTTCTCCTAATTTCCTGTCACTTCTGTGAAATCAAATACATCCTTAATATAAAAGTGCTGAGCTTCAGTGCATCCTTTCATCACATTTTCCAACAGGAAATGTCGGATTTTCCAACCTTTTCCAATCTCGCATCTCATCTGAGAATGCAAAAAGAGCTTTAATTGAATTGAATTACTGACAACAAAGTGCATCACATTTTAATCCTAAAACACAGAAAGCAGAGTGGTCAGGTGCTGTGTTTCATTTCCTTCTGCCCCTCTGGCCTCTAAAGCCTCGGACCGAGCCGTGACCAAAACACACAGTTTTAGGCACCCTGTGAAAAACAGAACAAACCCTTTAAATTACAGTCAGTTTTTTTTTATATATATACAAGACAATCTGCAGAAAATGCTTCACAAAACTTACTTTAATCTGACTTAAAAATGTTTATCTTTAGTGGACTGAAGGTTCTCTTCAACACACAAACCTAAACTGATTTTTATACAATTTAGGGCTTTAAAAAACAACAAACCTGTAGGAGTATCTTGGTTTCAGTCGCTCTGTGTTTGTTTCTGGGGTCTGAGCTGAAGCAGAAAAGTCCTCAGACTGAGCAGCTTCCTCACTGCTTGCATGCGTCTCCATGGACTCCTCCCGCTCCAGCTGGTTGGACTCAACGCCACACATAACCTCACACACACCCTCCGACCTACAAACATCGTCTGCTGCCTCCACAGCCGTGTCCGTCCTCTGCTCTCTGCTCGCTTCTCTGGTTCTAACAGAAAAAAAAACATAATTTTAAAAATAAGGACACTGAATGATTTCGAAAAAGCTGCAAAGGAAAAAAATAAACAAATGAGGATTTTATTGTAAATACAGACTGTTGAGTTGAAACAAGATATTTATTTACCCTATATAAAGGGATACCGGAAATTTTTTTGTCGATATTATATCAGATGTAACTTTTCCTGTTTTAAGTTAGCTAGGATTTCAAAACTATTTCTATTTGCTAAATGCCAGCATAAGAAAGAGGATGTTTTTTTTGTTTTTTTTTTCTTTTTAGATGATTTTCTATTAACTAAATGGAGACACACCTCTGGATGTATTTAATGGCAACACATCATACAGCTTCCTTTGGATGATGTTATTGAAAAATCTAACAAAATCAGGCATGATATCACTGACAGTTTTTTTTCAGTGCTGCTGTTTATAAATTCCAATTCTCTGTCCCTGTTTTGGAGTCCACAGACGCTTGGTGGGTGGGGCTTCAGGACCGCATATCATTTGCATACATTATAGAGGCTGACGGTAGTGCTATGGTCATTCTCAGGGTAAAATGTATGCAATGGCTACTTCAAGTTCAGATGGACCCTCTAAAAAACAGGTAAGTAACCTTGTTATCTTTCATTGGTATTCCACTGGACTGCATTAATCGTACAATAATGACCTAAAACAGGAACAGTTTGCTCTGATTTGATATTGGACTGTGAGGGGAAAAAAAATGGTTACAGTGAGCATGTGTTGAGTTTAGCGCCATCAATACACATACAGTATTACCCTCTTTCTTTTCTGCTTTTGTCAAATCTGAAGTCCGGTGGATACTTGTGAAGTCTTATCAGGTGGTCCTTCCTTTGCTGACTTGTCCTAAACTTCTGTCCACAGCCTTCCACAAGGCACAGATACTGAAAGGAATCAAGGTTCCAAGAAAAAGCATGATTTAATATTGCTTAAAATAAATCACTCGTTTAATTCTTCGGGCATCAGATTATCCGGGGCTCACCATGTCCTGCTTTTGGGCGAGGATGGTGAAAAGTGAGTCGTGCCACTCCTGAATGTGAATGTCCAGGAGGCGGGCGCTCGGCAGGGAGCGGCGGCAGGAGCAGCACACGTGTCGGTGCAGGGAGTTGTAGTGGTGCTCGTACTCATGCAGTGTGCTGAAGACGGCTCTGCAGCCGGAGATGTGACAGCCAAACTCTGAAACACTGAGGAAGAGATCAGGAGGAAGAGGGGAAATATCACGAACTATCTGAGCCAACTTCAAGGCCACCTTTTCTTGTCTGTGCTGCTTTTTCTTCCAGATGTTGCAGCCCCGTCTGAGGGATGCTACATTTGAGAAAATCTCAGTTTGTCTACTGAAGTTGCTCCTTTGTTCCCCTTTTTGAAATCAGGGCAATATCTAAAAGTCTTGACCTCACCTACTTGCCTGCTGCCATTCCCCAGCGAGCTCTGCACTGGTGGCAATTAATTAATTGATTTTGTATTAGGAGACATTTCTGGCACTTGTTTTAATTTCTTTGGCACCTTACTTATAATAACATATTTGCCAGTGAAGGGCTGCAAAGCGATGATGACACAATATGTTTCCTTGGAAGTTACCAAAGCTGGCAAAAGAAAAACTATTTCAAGCAGCACCAATTTTTAAAACAATCATGCTGCTGTTCTGTTTCAATAACACTGATTATTGATTTCATCTGATCACTATTCGCAGCAATCTAGAGCCAACCCAAACTGCTACCAGTACAACTGACGGAGTAAGGTTTGTGAAACGCAAGATTTCCATCAGTGTCAGAGGTTTTTTTTTTTTTTTTGTGCCACAGCTGTCCAGTTCAGAGTTTTGTCTGTAACCCACCTGGGCGCTGGCTGCTCCTCTGCCTCCGAGATGAACAGGTCCTGCAGATACATGTGTCTGAAAACATCTCCATCCTGTCAACAAAGGTTTATTTCACAGATGGCAACTAATGTTCCTACAAACGTTTTGTCGTCCGGTGGAGCTCCGTGTGAAGTTGTTACCTCAAACAGCTCATGGTCTCTGTGCAGACGGAGGAGCTGCGGACTAAAAGTGAATGGGTTCCCCTCCACCTGCTGCTCCGCCGCTCCTCTAAAACCCTCTTCTTCGTCGCCGTTATGAGTTTGACTTCCTCCCATCGCTATAAACTGGACCACGTCTGGTTGCAACATCATGTACAGACGTTTTCATAACTTCTTTGTTGAATCACTGGCAGCCGAACGGTTTCTGCGTTTGTTTTGGTTAGAATTTGGCGCGGGGAGATAACGTCACTCAGGCAGTTTCCGAGTTGACAGGGAAATGTTGTTTTACCGCCACCTGCTGGTCAAACTAATATCGGAACTGGAAACAAAACCGCTTTTCATTCAGTCACATAATGTCACGTGGAAATGCTGTCTAAATTTCTAAAATTTAGAACAGTCAGCTTTTGTCTCTTACCATTTAGAAGGTTGTCTGTCTTTTGTAACCCCAGACAAAATGAAAACATGGTAAAATATCATGTGGTTTTTGCTGCCTGTCTGAATCCATAGTTTAACACAAACGCACAAATGATACAAACAAAATCTTATTTTAGACCTCCTGAAACATCTTGTTTCTTGACCAGTTTATTTATTTATTTATTAGCTTTTTTCTTCAAGCATGATCTTCCTTCATTGCGCCAGTCAGGCGTTTTGATTTTACGCCACAAGATGGCGACAAAATAACAAGGCATTTTGCTGCGGGAAGCTCCTTTCAGGAATGTGACTGTATTAAACAA